AAGCCCAGGAAGACACAGTGGAGAGTGTGAGGAGAGAGCTTGCTCGTTTTGGTATCGCGAACAAGGGAGAGCGCGCCCCAGACCCCAAACGACGACGCATCACGAGGCTGTCCCGTCCAACGGAGTGTGGGCGAGGTCTCTGGAGCAGAGACACGGGGCCAGAGGTTGAGCTGATGCGCTGCGTATCGGACCGCAAATGGCCACAGGAAATGGGGAGCAGCCGCATGGATCATGGAGGTACGAGCAACCTCCATGATCAGGCCAATGCGACGCTCAGTGATCCCATTTTGCTGCGGAGAGGCCGGAAGCGTGAACGACTGGGCGATGCCCTCATCCTGGCAGAACGTCTCAAGGACGCCAGAGCTGAACTCACCACCCCTGTCAGAGTGCAGACGCAGGACTGGGAAGTCCTGCTGAAAGCGCTCGTGCAGCTGAGGACGAGTAGCACGGATCCAGGGGATCAAAACACCACTCACGTCCGCCTTGCGACGCAAGGGGAAGACGGTGGTGTAGCGTGTGTAGTCGTCAACAACCAGCAGGAAGTAGCGCTCCTGGTCCGTTCCACCGACGGGGGCCGGGCCCCACACGTCCAGGTGGAGAGTCTGCAGAGGAGCAGTGGTCGGAGGAAACTCGGAGGAGTGAGGAGCGGCGCGCCGCCGCCCCTCGACGCAACGAAGGCACGGCGGCGCAAGCGAGCGCGGGAGGGGGGGCAGGGTCTCAGGGAGGCCAGAGACCAGGAGCCGGAAGTGCATGCCGCGCAGACGCAGCTGCGACGGATGGCCAAGACGGTGGTGCCAAAGCTGCGCATGGTGGGTGAGGAGGCGACACAAGCAGGACGCAGCGAGCTGACCAGACGCAGCCACCTGACCAGACGCAGCTACCTGTGCAGACGCTGTGGTGAGTGTGTACAGGTTCGACCCCGGCTGCCGTGTGAACTTAGCCAGGTGACGGCATGTCTTGGCGCATGTGCAGATCGCCACACGTTGACCTCCAGGAGTAAAGGTGTCAACCCATACATCCTGGAGGATGGCGTTGCTCACCAGGTTCGTCGAGAACGAGGGGAGGTGGAGGCCTAACAGAGAGCCAGAGGGGTCAGCTGGGCACGGGAGGACAGTGGAGTGGCGTGCAACCACCGGGCCCCCAGAGGGGTCCGCCAGTGAGACTGGGACTGGTGTAGTGAGTGGGGTGACAGTGGTGCAGTCGCGAAAGAAGCAACGTGACGCACCAGAGTCAAGTGTGAAAGTGTGCAAGACCTCAGCAGTAGCAGCAGACTCACTAGTACCTGGGGCAGTAGCGACACTAGCACCTAGGGCGGCAGCAGACTCACTAGCACCTGGGGGAGCAGTATCACTACCAGCATCGTATGGCACACACGAGTAACACGCACCCTCAACACTATTATCAGCAACATACATAGCATAGAGAGCAGCATTGATCTTACCAAAGTCAAGAGCAAACACATCTACCGCCTTCCCCATCAGCTGCAGCCAGTTCGGCACCTGCTGGTCCTCGCTGTACTCAGTCACCCAGGCGTCCTCAAGACGGCCGAAGCACTTGTACTCAGTGTGCGGCTTCCCGCAGACTGTGCCCTTCAGAAGCCCCGTGCGCTGGACATAAGGGCAACGACCAGAGCCCCCAGAGCCCCCTCGCTGGAGAACCCACTCACGGAGCTGCTGGTCGGTGGGGTTGTCCGGGAGGCGCGGCAACTGCTGACCACTCCCGTAGCCACGGGAGGGTCCACGAGCGCCACCACCCCTGCCAGACCCACCCCGACCTCCTCCGCCTCCCCCGCTACCCCAACCACCTCCCCCACCACCGCCGCCTCCTCCACCCTGTCCGCCTCCTCCACTGCTGCCACCCCCAGAGCCACCAACAGAGCCTCCACCACCCCCGCCACCACCCCCGCCACCCCCTCCGCTGCTGCCACTACCACCACCCCTGCCCCCTCTACCCTTGCTATTGTTGCGCCTTCCACTAGGAGCAGACGCAGCGCCAACGTCCTCAGCACCAAGGAGGTCGACTGCAGCAGCGGTAGCAACTGAGGGGAGGAGAGGGGAGGGAGTACACTCTTCAAAGAAGGGGGAGCGGGGGGTGCCACGAGAGGCAGCGACAGCGACAGTGCTCTTCTCAACCTCGAGAAGGGCCTTCTCAAGCGAGTCAAGTGTGAGCTCAGTGGGGTCCATGGCTAGGAACTGGTCCCTGACAGTGCGAAGGGAGTCAGGGAGGCGGGTGTTAAGAAAGTATAGGGTGAAGTACTACAGGGGGGGGGTTCTTAGCGAGAAACGCCGGCTTGAGAGCGGCACGGAAGCGATCCTCACTAGAGCGGAGGTAGGTAAAGAGGTCAGAGACAGTGCGGAACTCAGCTAGATCGGGATGCAGGTACGGCAGCATGAGACGGCCTACAGCAGCAGTAGTTGGGGAGGAGTAGCGAGAAACTACAGCGTCATAGAGATCCTTGGACGTTTTCTGCCGGCTAAAGTGCGTGCGCTCAGTGACGGGCAGGTGGTTGCGGACAGCAAGGCGGGCAGCTGCATCACGCATGAGCCACTTAGACAGATCCTCTACAGCGTCGGCAGCAGGGGATGGGAGCTTTCCCTCAGCGTGTAAAGACAGGGAAATGCCATCCTTAGACTCGCTCTGCAGGAACAGCTGGAGATCGTCGAGCCAGACATCAAAGGTAATCGCACGGCCCTCAGCATCGAACGTAAGGACTGACAGGTTAGCCATAGCAGCAGTAGCAGTGCCAGTAGTAGCAGCTGTAGCAAGGGCAGTAGTAGCAGCAGCAGCAGTAGCACTAGCTGTAGCAGCAGTAGTTGCAGTAGCAGTGCCTATAGAAGCAGCTGTAGCAAGGGCAGTAGTAGCAGCAGCAGCAGTAGCACTAGCTGTAGCAGCAGTAGTTGCAGTAGCAGCAGTAGTACTAGCTGTAGCAGCACTAGTTGAAGTAGCACTAGCAGTGACAGCTCGGGCCGGGCTGTGTGTGTGTGTGTGTGTGTGTGTGTGTGTGTGTGTGTGTGTGTGTGTGTGTGTGTGTGTGTGTGTGTGTGTGTGTGTGTGTGTGTGTGTGTGTGTGTGTGTGTGTGTGTGTGTGTGTGTGTGTGTGTGTGTGTGTGTGTGTGTGTGTGTGTGTGTGTGTGTGTGTGTGTGTGTGTGTGTGTGTGTGTGTGTGTGTGTGTGTGTGTGTGTGTGTGTGTGTGTGTGTGTGTGTGTGTGTGTGTGTGTGTGTGTGTGTGTGTGTGTGTGTGTGTGTGTGTGTGTGTGTGTGTGTGTGTGTGTGTGTGTGTGTGTGTGTGTGTGTGTGTGTGTGTGTGTGTGTGTGTGTGTGTGTGTGTGTGTGTGTGTGTGTGTGTGTGTGTGTGTGTGTGTGTGTGTGTGTGTGTGTGTGTGTGTGTGTGTGTTGTGTGTGTGTGTGTGTGTGTGTGTGTGTGTGTGTGTGTGTGTGTGTGTGTGTGTGTGTGTGTGTGTGTGTGTGTGTGTGTGTGTGTGTGTGTGTGTGTGTGTGTGTGTGTGTGTGTGTGTGTGTGTGTGTGTGTGTGTGTGTGTGTGTGTGTGTGTGTGTGTGTGTGTGTGTGTGTGTGTGTGTGTGTGTGTGTGTGTGTGTGTGTGTGTGTGTGTGTGTGTGTGTGTGTGTGTGTGTGTGTGTGTGTGTGTGTGTGTGTGTGTGTGTGTGTGTGTGTGTGTGTGTGTGTGTGTGTGTGTGTGTGTGTGTGTGTGTGTGTGTGTGTGTGTGTGTGTGTGTGTGTGTTGTGTGTGTGTGTGTGTGTGTGTGTGTGTGTGTGTGTGTGTGTGTGTGTGTGTGTGTGTGTGTGTGTGTGTGTGTGTGTGTGTGTGTGTGTGTGTGTGTGTGTGTGTGTGTGTGTGTGTGTGTGTGTGTGTGTGTGTGTGTGTGTGTGTGTGTGTGTGTGTGTGTGTGTGTGTGGTTGTCTAGCTTGAAAATAATTATATGTAGTTACTTGATAGGAAATCTCTTGCTGCAGTTTATTCATTGCAAACGAAACCAACTTCTGAACTGAGCTCCAAGACTTCTTTGGTCGGAATTTCCTTGGGAGTTGAACAGAGATTGTAACGGCGCGTTCGTTCCGTTCCCAAGTTCGAAAATAAGTTCGAACTTTAGGTGGTTACTTTTTTCGCCAACCTCGTCAAGAGCGTGTGACGAACATCGCGAATTTCAGGCCTAATGAAAGTTCGAACTTGAAATGTGAACATGACTCGAGTTGGCGTTGTGAACGTGCGTGAGCACGTTCATGTGAGCGTGTGTGTTTTCGGCACCTACGAACACCATGCGAAATTAACGACTCCATCGCGAAACATACAATGGCATTAATTTGACTTGGCGAACAAGTACCGGGTAACATAAAGTTCGAATTCTGGTGTTCGACCTTGCGTGTGATTTTGCATCTTTGCAGTGTTATTCCCGCAATTTTCGAACTTCGCTACAAGGAAAGTCGAATTCCATTCGACTTAGGTTCAAAAAAAAATATCACCCCCAAAACATGAACTTTGTCCAATTTGACGGAACGAACACTCCCTAACATTTTTCCTTTCCTCCACACCGCGACTGGAAATCGCAATTCAGGATCGGCCCCTGTGCACAAGACCACCCAAAGGGAAAACGAACAAATGAAACCCCTCGTAATCTGAAACGAATACTCGACTACCCTCCAATTGTTGCAATCCGCAGGGAACACAGCAGTCAAATTAACCAGCCATCCCGCCTTCCCGACTCACCCCATCCAAACCAGCGAGAGCAATGGAGGAAATGGCGGGATTGTGTTGCGAGTGATGCGATCAGACAGCAGAGCCGAACAAGTCGGAGAGCAACGGCAAGAACTGAGCAGAGAGCAGAGAAGCATCAGGCGAGATATCAGAACTGCATCAGCAAGATAGCAGCCACCATTTATCGTATTTCGAGAAGTTTTTATCCCTAACGTCATCGAAGCAAGCGCGCTTTGTTTTCCACTACTTTTCGCTAGCTTACCTTACCTTGAACCTGAGGTAGTATTATGGCGTGTTCGCATATGAATAGCCTTCCTGACGAGCTACTTATTGCCATCTTCTGGCCCTCAAAGCGAATCTTCTCTCGCGAGCCATTTGATGAGGTTGTATGGGCTTCCGTGCGGCCTCCCTCGAGGTTCATTCGCGAAGATCCAGACGAGGCATGTTACCAGCAGAGCGACACCATGTTTCCAGCTCCTCCTCTTCCTCCAGAATTCGCCGACGCCGCGTACAATCTCCTCCTCGCGTCGATCTGCCGCCGCTGGCGTCGCCTGGCGCAGCGCCACGTGTCCACGCTCCTCGTCAAGAAGGACCGCGCCGTTTCCCGGGACGATCTCGCCGCAGCGGTCGCGTGCTTCCCGCACCTCACGCACCTGCACCTCAGCGACGGTAGCGCGCAGCCCATCGACGACGCCTTCCTCGCTCACCTCGCCGCTCGCTGCCCGAAGCTGACGGCGTTCCACCTAGGGAGTTACATCGTGCAGCAGAACCTCGAGAACTCCGACTACGACTCACCTGGGGAGTACGACCCGGCGGGGAAGGGCTTGGTCACGCCTGCCGGCTTCGACGCGTTCTTCCGCTGCTGCACGCAGCTGGAGCACCTCTCGCTAGGCTGCCTGCATAGCAATTTCGGGTTACCAACTTCGCTATTCCAGCTCGTGCATCTGCGATCTCTCGCGGTCGCCGATCTGTCGTCGATATTAACAGCACACGTTGAGAAGTTCACGTCTCTCACGGCACTCGCGATCAACACGTCGGTTTGGGACTTTGACGACCTCGAGCACCTCGCGCTCCTGCCGCACCTCGCGTCTCTCTCCATAACGGAAGAAATCTCTTTCTCCCAACCCAGCTCGCGCTCTCCTCCCTTCTCCTTCGCGCGCCTACCGTCGCTCACGTCGTTGGATCTAGGCTTCAGCCCCTGCCCACCGTTCGATCGGATGTTCCCTGCGGATTCCCCCTGCAGCCTGCTCGAGCGGCTGTCCCTCTACCAGTGCAGCGACCTTCACGCTCTCCCGGACGACATGGGCGAGCGCCTGCCGTGCGTGCGCGAGCTGAGCATCAGCATGTGCATCACCTTGCTGGAGCAGCCCGACCAACTCACCTCCCTCACAGCCCTGCGCTCCTTGACGCTCGCCGAGTGCGCATTTCGCGGCCTGCCGGACCGCTTCGGCCACATGCCCGCGCTGACGACGCTCGTGCTGCACAACCTGAACATCTCCTGCCACTTCCCTGCCTCGTTCACCCGCCTGCAGTCCCTCGACACTCTCGTCGTCACCGACTGCGCGACCTTAGCCGAGCTGCCTGACGGGTTGGGCGCGCTCACAGCGCTCAAGCGCCTGTGCGTGGCGGAGTGTCCCTCCGTGGTTCTGCCAGCCCACGTGGGCCAGCTCACCAACCTGCACTCGCTCCTCCTCAAATCCTGCACGGCGCCCCGCCTGCTGCCACCCTCCTTCACGCAGCTGGCTTCACTCGCACGCCTGGAGCTTCACGAGTGCGATCTGACCGAGCTGCCACAGGTCGTGGGGGAGATGAGGCGCCTGCGAGAGCTCTCCCTCCTCTCCTGCCCGCGGATCCAGAAGCTGCCAGAGTCCGTGGCAGCGCTGCTGAGGCTGGAGTCCCTCGTGGTGGACGAGTGCAGCAGCCTCTTCTCCGTCCCTACGAGCCTCGTCAATCTGACGCGGCTGAAGCAGCTGGAGCTGACCGGCTGTGCGCTGCTGAGAAGGGCTCCGGAGTGCCTGCCAGGGTCGTTGGAAACGCTCAGGCTGGGGAGTTACCAGCAGGTCATACATCTGTCGGGCACCTATGCTCTCCCCCGCCTCACCACTGTGAGGTTCACCAATGTGATTTTTCCCACTGATCTATTCAGAAGCAGCCTCTCCTCACCGGAGCACTTGCGTCTCATGTTGGCATGTGAGGGCGAGTTCCCGTTCCCATTGGCGGACCTGCCTCGCCTGCGCACCCTCACACTCATCAGCACTGGAGTTGTGAGGCTTCCAGAGTTTTCCAGGTCCACGTTGCAGGAGCTGCGCCGGCTGGCAATACTCATGCCTGAATTGACGGAAATCCCAGCAACTATCGGAGCTCTCCAAAAGCTCACATACCTGGAGATCAAAGCTCCCAAGCTGCCTTCCCTTCCCGATTCCATCGGGGCGCTGTCCCGACTAGGCAAGCTGATTCTCTCCAACAGCCCAGCGCTCACGCACCTCCCTGCCACCCTCACGCAGCTGGCCTGCCTGCGCGAGCTGCTAGTGCGCAAGGCCGCCATCACAGCCCTTCCCGCCAACTTTGCCCGGCTGAGCCGGCTGCAGGTGCTGAATCTGGAGGGGTGCAAGCAGCTGGAGGCGCTGCCTGAAGACGTGGGCGAGCTGAAGCTGCTGGACCGTCTGATATCCGAAGGGTGTGACAGATTGTGCGACCGTGAAGCAGGCCCTCAGATTCACTTTTTGGGTCGTCAACCCATCAGGGTCCCCCTGTGTGTAAACTCTGATTGACAGTGTTCCAAAAAAAAAAAAGCCTGAAATGTCAGTGTTGTGTTTGTAAAAAGCCTGATGCATCAGTGTACCACTAGTAAGAAGGCTGTCACTAACACGTCGCAGCTGATGGCAACGGGGCAGGATCCTTGGCAGCCCTCCAGCACCACATGGTGGCCACGTTCAGATTGGCCAAGGCTGACTGCTGCAGCGAAACGGCCCAGTGGTGTGAAAGCCGTGCCAACAAAACACCTCTGAATGTGAAGCAGTGGCAGAATTTCACAGGTTGGCTTCGCCACGGGGTGCTTACACCTCGGGAATCTGAGATTCCCTGTAATTGCGGTCAGATCCACATGGCACAGGTACGAATTGCTTCAGTGTTGGTTTCGTTACAACGTTGTGGCATCAGTGTCCTAGGGGAAAAAAGTCTGAAATTTCAGTGTGGCCTAACAAAAAAGGCTGAAAGATCAGTCCCTCAAAAATCTCAACACTGACTTATAACTGCCTACAGCTAGCTAGTGTACTAGTTTAGTTATTAGCATCAACAGTTGGTGGTGTACCCTCTCTTTTCCTTGCCTATATCCTTGTACTGTTTCTCATTATTGAACCTCTTTGGCCAACCCAAACTCCCTCGATATCCATCTCGCTATGCTACTCTCTCCCTCCAAGCTCCTAATCTCCTAAGTACTATTTGAAATGCTATCAGAGCCCGTGTTTCGGTCCTAGGCCCTCGCTCAAATTTGAACCATGGGAGCTTTCCCTCACGCTCGTTTGCAGCTGCTGGCGGCCTGCAAGGCGACCGCCGCGACGAGCAGGGAGACGGTCGCGAAATGCAGCGCGAGTACTGCAGCAGCTGCGCGATCGCCGTTCGTCGCGGCCGCCTCGTCTCGCCCCATCGCCCCGCCCCTTCGTCGCCACGTCGCCCCACTGCTGCGCCTCTGCCGCCCCCCCGTTCGCCCCCCGTGCGCTTCCGCACCCGTCCAGCCCCTGCACGTATTCGGGGGCGGTAGCTATAACGTGGAGGATGGGGGAAGGGAGTGGCGGGCCGACGGCAGCAGTCGCCCGCGTCAGCGCCAACGAACTTCGTTGGCGCCCCCGACATCTCCATCCTGCTCCCCGCCCTCCCCTCTGCCGCGCACTGCAACGGCAGAGACTTGGGGAGGGGGTTGGCGGGATTGGCAGGCGAGGCTCCGGGGGTACTAAAGCCCCCCTTGAACCCCCCTATCCTCCTCCTCCTCGCTGCACCGCATCTGCTGGGCGTGCCGCGTTGGGGGGGGGGGGAGAAGGGATGTGGGGGTGGCGGGTTTGACAAGGCAGCCCCAGCCGCACCTTCTCCCTCTACCTTCCGCTGCACCATCTCCTCCTCCTCTCTCCTCCCTCCAGCCGCATCTCCTCCTCCTCTCTCCTCCCTCCAGCCGCATCTCCTCCTCCTCTCTCCTCCCTCCAGCCGCATCTCCTCCTCCTATCTCCTCTCCTCCAGCCGCATCTCCTCCTGTGCACCACCACCAGTTTCCTCCTCCTCACCAACAGTTGTGTTTGCTCGTAGATGGCGAGCGACCAGCATCCTTCGCCCTCCGGCTATCCCAGCCCTCCTCCGCGCTCTCCGCGCCCACCTCCGTTCTGGCGTTCACAGGTGCTGCCGGTCAGCCACCGCTGTTTCTGTGCCTATCCCAGCTACAGCAACCGCTCTCCAGGCGACCTGGTGCCAGACACCACTAGCTACAGCCGTAGGCAGTGACGGGGGTGTGTTGAATTATATTGCATATCTTATAACTGCCTACAGCTAGCTAGTGTACTAGTTTAGTTATTAGCATCAACAGTTGGTGGTGTACCCTCTCCTTTCCTTGCCTATGTCCTTGTACTGTTTCTCATTATTGAACCTCTTTGGCCAACCCAAACTCCCTCGATATCCATCTCGCTATGCTACTCTCTCCCTCCAAGCTCCTAATCTCCTAAGTACTATTTGACAGCCCTCAGATTCACTTTTTGGGTCGTCAACCCATGCTAGCAGTCGCCGTGCTAACAGCCGTGTGCACTAACTGGCAGCTGAAGTGGGCATGATTCAGCCAGGCATGATTTAGCCAGGCATGATTCAGCCAGGCATGATTCATCTAGGCATGATGCAGCCAGGCAAGATTCAGCCAGGCATGGTTCAGGCATTCAGCCAGGCATGATTCAGCCATTCAGCCAGGCATGATTCAGCTTGGCATTATTCAGACCGGCATGTTTCAGCCTGTCATAATTCATCCAGGCATGATTCAGCCAGGCATGAATCAGCCAGGCATGATTCAGCCAGGCATGATTCAGCCAGGCATGATTCAGCCTGGCATGATTCAGCCAGGCATGATTCAGCCAGGCATGAATCAGCCAGGCATGAATCAGCCAGGCATGATTCAGCCTGGCATAATTCAGCCAGGCATGATTCAGCCAGGCATGATTCAGCCAGGCATGATTCAGCCAGGCATGATTCAGCCTGGCATGATTCAGCCAGGCATGATTCAGCCAGGCATGATTCAGCCTGGCATGATTCAGGCTGGCTGTCTCATCGCAAGAAAAGTGGAAAGTTGAGTGTCTAGCAGCATTATGATTTGCGTTTTCAATGTTTCACGGCAATATTAATTGCATGCTAATTCTTCTTCGGCATGATGTTCTGTGTTCTGGTTATCTCATAGCTTGTCGCTTTAGCTTGCTGACGCCAAATTATTAGACTCATGGCATGGCAGATCATTGCATTCTGCATTGCATTATGTTTACAGTCTCATGTCATGATGAAAGATTTGTTTTTTTACTCCTCTCATAGTATCATGATTTGCTTGCTGAATGACTCAAGGCATGACATACTGGCTGATGCTTTTTTCGTGGGATGATGAAATGCATTGTGATTGTCTGTATGTCTCAAGGCGTCATATGTCTTATGTTAAATGTTCCATGGTGTTATGATTAGCATGCGGAATACCACATATGATGATGACTTGTATGACTAATGTGTCATGGCTTGGTGATTAGCTTTCTGAATGTTTCTAAGCACGATGATGTCTCAAGGCATGATATTGCATGATGATGCACATTCAGAACGTGTTCAGGCCTGATTGTCTGAATGCTGAGATGATTTTTTAAGAGCATAACCAAATTGCCATGACAACATGTAGGCTAAATGTCTTATGGCATGATAATTTGCACTTAAAATGTGTATTAGCCTGAACAGCTGTATGCTGAATGTCTCATGGCTTTATGACTTGCGTGTTGAATTATTTGCATACTGGAATTTTTATGGCTAAAAGCATGTTGTATTGCGTTATGTATGCCTCATACTTCAATAATTTGAGTGCTGAATTTGCAATGGCGTGATATATTGCATGGCGAATGTCACCTAGAATGATGACTTGTATGTAGCATGTCTCATACCATGATGACTAGCATGATGAGTGTTCCTAAGCATGATGAAATGCATACGGATTGCCTCAAAGCATGATAACCTGCATGCTGAATCTCGCATAATACCATAAATTACACGACAGACTTTCTGAAGCTCTCATTTCAAAAAGGTCAACCTTACTAAGTTGAGCGCTGGGCAGTCGGGGAGGTGAACAAGAGTCGAGAAGCGCTTTGGTAGCACTACCTTTACACAACACCGGGGAGCAATGGGCGTATGGGAATGAGAGGAGTGGGGTATGAGAGGAGTTGGGGGTGTGAGAGTAGTGGGGGGGTATGAAATAGTGAGGTATGAGAGGATTTGTGGGTATGCTATGTATCGGGGGTATGTGCGAAGGGCGTGTGAGAGGTGTAACGGATGTGAGAAGAGTGGGGGATATGGAGAGAGGATTGGGGATTCTGGGAGTAGTGGGGGGGACAACGAGAATAGTGGGGGTGTGAGAGGAATCTGGGGCATGAGAGGAGGGGGGGTATGATTATTGGGGATTACCACATGACTGGCATATGGTAGGAATGGGGCTGATGAGAGAAAGAGGGTATGAGAGACGTTGGGGGTATGAGAGAAATCGGGGTATGAGAGAAGTGGGGGATATGAGGGGACTATAGGGGGTATGAATCCCGTGGGGGTTGTGAAAGTTTTGGGGGGTATGAGAGGAATGGGGGTTGTGAGAGGAATGGTGGGTGTGAGAGGAATGGGGGGTATCAGAAAGGAGCGGGAAGAATGAGAGGAGTTGGGGATATGAGAGCAGTCGGGTTTATGAGAAGTGTAGGTGGGGATTTTAGAATGCATATTTATTATGCATGTGTCTTAAAGCCGTCTCCCTGGGTGCATCTTTCTGATTTAAACTTTCAAAGAGCATTATTGGAACACTATCGGTACACTATCTCAAAACACAAATTTGAACAGTTTTAGAACGCATCTCTCTGGTAAATATATTGTAACTCTAATTGCGTATATCTCAGCATGCACACGATAGGACTCGAAATGCATATCTCATAACATACTTCTCACCATGCATCTCCCAAATGCATAGTAGCCCTAGGGCAAGCTTCAGAAGAGACATTGGTGAGAAAATGATATTGCAACTTGCAACTTGCTAGACATTGAAGTCAATCTACTACAGTAGCTGTGCATGATGTCCCACAACAATCTGCTGTCAGTTTGGCACCATCTAGTAACTCCTATCCAAGCTGACTAGCTGGATGCTTGTGGGACCATCAACAATCACACAGGCTACCAGATCTGCTCATGATTATTGCTACCGTTGTTTCCTTACGGTAAGTTCAATGGTTTGCCTAGTATGCATCAAGAAGAAATCAAACCTCAGTTCAATGCAAGCAAGAGCAGAGATCACACAACCAAGAAACAAATATCGTCTGAGCAAGCAAGAACAGAGAGATAACAAAACCAAGATGAAGAAGAAGAAAGTCAGTGCAAGGCATGCAAGATGAGAGATCACACTGCAAGTCCCAGAACAGTCCCATCCACTCATCCACCTCCCCTACCACCAGCTTCACTGCCGTGGGACCCGCTTCACTCCCCTGCCAGCAGCTTCACTCCCCTGCCAGCAGCTTCACTCCCCTGGCAGCAGCTTCACTCCCCTGGCAGCAGCTTCACTCCCCTGGCAGCAGCTTCACTCCCCTGGCAGCAGCTTCACTCCCCTGGCAGCAGCTTCACTCCCCTGCCAGCAGCTTCACTCCCCTGGCAGCAGCTTCACTCCCCTGCCAGCAGCTTGACTCCCCTGGCAGCAGCTTCACTCCCCTGGCAGCAGCTTCACTCCCCTGGCAGCAGCTTCACTCCCCTGGCAGCAGCTTCACTCCCCTGGCAGCAGCTTCACTCCCCTGCCAGCAGCTTCACTCCCCTGGCAGCAGCTTCACTCCCCTGGCAGCAGCTTCACTCCCCTGGCAGCAGCTTCACTCCCCTGCCAGCAGCTTCACTCCCCTGGCAGCAGCTTCACTCCCCTGCCAGCAGCTTCACTCCCCTGGCAGCAGCTTCACTCCCCTGGCAGCAGCTTCACTCCCCTGGCAGCAGCTTCACTCCCCTGGCAGCAGCTTCACTCCCCTGGCAGCAGCTTCACTCCCCTGGCAGCAGCTTCACTCCCCTGGCAGCAGCTTCACTCCCCTGGCAGCAGCTTCACTCCCCTGGCAGCAGCTTCACTCCCCTGGCAGCAGCTTCACTCCCCTGGCAGCAGCTTCACTCCCCTGGCAGCAGCTTCACTCCCCTGGCAGCAGCTTCACTCCCCTGCCAGCAGCTTCGCTGCCCTCCCACTGTCCTGCCACTGCCTGCAACTGCAGAGGTGGGGGAGGGGAGGGGGGGGGGGGGGAAACGATGAAAAAGGGCAGTGACTTATGAGCGGAATGTGGGAGACCATGCCGTAGAGGCACGGACCTGTGGGATGGAAGTTGGTATAGGAGAAGCAGATGCAGAGCCAGGGGCGAGGGATGAGGGAGATAGTATTGTAGGGGCTTTAGTGTGTGAATCAGTGCAGGAGAAGCAGGTGCGGATCTGGAACTGGAACTGCAGGGAAAAATGGGAGAAGGAGGAGGAGGAGGGGGGGGAAGGTTGGAAAAGCAGGGAAATGGGAGGAACATGTAGTGACGTAGAGAAATTATGTGGTCTCTTGCGGTAGGGGCAAATAGAGTCAAAAGGCGTTGGTGCAGGATCCACACATGCGAAGCTGGAGTGGGGAGAATGTGAATGGGGGCTGGATGGAAAGACGAAATCAGAATGTAAGAGGGCAGGGAAGGAATTTGAGGGAAGATGGCGGAATGAGTTTCACCATGGCTGCAACCACCTTCTCAACTCACCTGGCCTGCCCATCACCTCCCTCCAGCCACTTCCAGCCACTCTTTCCCACTCCTCACCTCACCAACTCCCAGCAACTCCCAACTTGGTGACACCTACTTATTCAACTCAATTAAGTCCAATCCAATCCACCCACCTCACCTCAGTCAGCCGCTAGCGAGCCCAAGACGGCCAGCCGAGTCAAAGCACCTCCGTCAGCCGCACGAGATTTGCAGGAAGGGAGAGCATGGAAGTGTTGCGCAGTATCAGCTGGTGCAGCTGCGTGAGAGATTCCGGTAGATGCCGCAAGGCGTTGCAGCGAATCAGCTCCAGTTTGCGCAGCCGAACTAAGGAGGTCATGCCCTGAGGTAGTGACTTCAGCTGAGGAGCTTCAACGGTGAGTGACGTCAGCGAGCTAAGCTCCACTATGCTGCTTGGCAGCCCCTTGTGTGACCACGAAAGAAGCTGCAGCTGCCGCAGCTGTGGCAACGCTGCAGCCATGTTTACCGGGAGCCTGCGAATTCCCGGTGCCTCTATCAGCAAGCTGCGCAGGCGAGGGAGAAAGGTGAGGGGGACTGGGAGCTCCTGTCTGCCTCCTTCCAAACGCATCTCCAGCTGCTCCAGCTGCTGCAGACACGATAACCTCCTCCTCACTACACGCCCACATCGCACCCCAACGCAGGTCAGCTTCAGCACCCTCAGATGCGACAGCCGGGAGATGTCCACAACATGGGGCGGGCCTTCCCTGAAGGGCCCCAAACAGAGGGTCTCGAGAGAGGGGGGCAGACCAGCAGGGAGACTATCCAATTGCTCACAAACCGTCAACTCGAGGCTCTTAAGCCCCACAAGCGTGTCTAGACTTGCTGGTACTTCTGAGAGAGAACTGCACCTGGTGATCTTAACTCTCTTAAGGCCAGTAAGCTGTAGCAGTGAGCTAGGAAGAATTCTGTTGGGAAGCTGGACTGGGTAGCAAAGATCCAGCTCAAGGCTCGTCAAGGAAGACAGTTGGGTGAAGGAATCCGGGAGAAGATTCGCGAAACTATACAACCTGAGAGCCTCCAGACTTGCAAGGGCCCCAATGTTCTCTGGCAACTCCAGATTCTGTGTGTTTGTGAGGGAGAGCGCCCTGAGCGCCGTGAGGCGGCAGAAACCTTCGGGCAGCTCACAGAGATTTCTGCAACCAACTATAAAGAGTGCCTCGAGAGACGTGAGATGGCAGAAGGACGGAGGGAGAGCCCGAAATTGCAATTCTTCCAACACCAGCAGTTTGAGGGCAGGCAGGTTCCCGAAGTTGTCAGGTAAGCTGAATGCGTCACTGATAGAGATGATGAGGGCTTCCAAACGATTAAGAGAAGTGAAGCTTTCAGGTAGGGTTTCCAAGTGAAAGCACTCGCGGATGGTCAGCTTGCGAAGGCTTGGGAGCAAGTCTCCTATGTCGTCAGGAAGGTTCTCCAGCTCACGGCACTGGGTGATCAGCAGCTCCTCTAGCCCGGTGAACGGCGATGCTGATGGGAAGATGGTGTCGAATTCAGGGCAAAGATAAAAGAAATTGATCAATTTCAGGCAGGACGGCAGCGTTACGCTTGCAGCACCCGCTGGCTGATGGTTGTGGTGACGGGCGACGGTGGAGAGGTGGGTGAGTCGTGGGAAGTGACGGAGGGTGGACAGGTGCTGAGAATTCCAGGGGAAGGTGACACAGAGGGTGGTAAGAGCAGTAAGATTTGTAAAACCGGGATTCTCCAGTGCTGCAGCATTATTCACAACAAGGGTGTGCAGATGTTTCAGCTGGAAAAATGAGTCCGGTAGCTGCGTTGCTTGGTGGAGGCAGAAGAGAGAAAGCTCCTCCAAGCGAAGCAACTTCAGGAAGAAGCAATCCAAGCCATTCGTAGTTATTGAATGCCCCTCCTTCCTGCGATACTCCTTGACTGGGTGGACATCGCCCTCCTTTGGTGGATGTGCAAAGCTCCTCCCCACGTGGAGGCGAGTCAGCTTCGGGCATGATGAAGCGAGGCGAGCAAGGAAGACGTCGTTGAGTGTCTCGACGCTGTTGTCACTGAGATGCAGGTGGGTGAGGTTGGGGAAGCACGCCACGGCGGCTGAAAGATCCTCGCGAGATACAACAAGTTCCTCTTTAACGGAGAGCATGGTCACGTGAAGCCTAGCCAGACGCCGCCAATGACGGCAGACGGACGCGATCAGGAGATTATGCGCCGCGTCTGCAACTGAAGGAGGGGTTGCTATAGGAGTCTTGTCTATAAGGCGTGCTCTGAGTCCACCTACGAAAGGAGACCATACATGGCTAGAGGTCCACCAGCTATCAATAGAAGATTCGGATGAAGCGTGCTGCTGGAAGGACCGTCTCAGGATCGCAACGAGAATGTCGTCTGGCAAACTATTGATAATCGTGTGAGGCTCCATCCAGGAAATTCTAAGTCCAAGACTGCGAAGTCACCGGAGTAAGCTGTTGGGACGTTTCTCAAGATATATCACAAGATATAGGAAGTAATTCTCACGGGAAGATAAGGCATACACTAACGGAGTGGGTCGAGATCTGCGCCATTGACTAGCGGACCCCTTTCATGTGAAATCTGCTCATGAGTGGAGAAATGCGAGCAGATGGGAGGAGAGCAATAGAAAGGAGGTCAAAGTTGATGCAAGAAAATGGGGACGGCGTGTTCGGCATTCGAGCTGACGTCCTAGAATCAACACTAGGTTCGACAAGTGACACAGCAACGGCGCAGGAGAAACATGCGCGGAACGGTGGTAGCGTTGGAACGGCTGAACCGAGACACTAGGCCGTCAGATCCAGTCCTGCCAACCTAGGACGAGGCTGGCTCTTCGATTCCCGTAAACCTATTATAGAATTCGCATATACAGACATCTCGTGTCGCAAGATTGAAGCCGTTAGGATGAAGCACAGACTAAGAATGGAGCGGAAACAACGGCATGAGAGCCACGAGGCAAGAGCAGCAAGGTTGATTCTTCATTGCCTAGATTTTGCGTTCAGGTATTCGCTATAGCGCGTCGAACAAAGGGGAACCATGTCATGAGCCCCAGATACTGTAAGCACAGCAGCGCTGGTGTATGAGAAGCAAGCGGAAGGCAAGGCTGGGGGGAATGGTTGTGCCTCCCCCCATCAAGCATTCCGCCAGCCATCCTGTCCCTCCCCGCCTCCCGGTCGCGCGGACACACGAAAGCTGGGATGAGGGGGTTTGGCGAGCCTGGCAAAAGTTGGAGTGTGTGCTGGCGAGAGTTCCTCCTACATCATGCTGGGTGTGTCGTTGGAATTGGCGAAAACCAACCTTTCTGGCGAATTGCGCGCTACCCGTCATTCCCGCCAGCCCCACCCCAGCCTCAAAATGGAGCCTCGAGACAGCCGAGCCTGCTCTGACCTGACTTCGACAGAGACCAGCTCTTTCGCCACAGACTGGCCAATCACAGACCCTCTATTTGTTACCTGCCTCGAGATCAAAGGAAGCTGAAGTGATTATTTTCAGGGAAAATATGCCAGAAGTAACCAACTTGGGACTCGTACGTGAATGATAAAAACAAAACGCGTACGGTCACTGCATCGGGTTTTCTGACGGGTTTGGTAAGTTAAGGTTAAGGTTATATAAGGTCGTAACCGTGTACAGCAAAAACATAGAGCAGCTAGAAATATGGTCTACACAACCAACAGCCCAGAGGCGTACGTAAGAGAACACGTTATTCCTCTATCCATTGGATAACCGCCAGCCCAGCTGGGGAGCTCTCTATGCTCAAAAAGGGGGGGAGGGCTAGGGGGGGCGGAAGGGGTCCCCAAGCAACCAGGAAGAGCGGAGGTCTGGGTGGATAGAGGGGGTTCCGTTGTGGTCGAAGACGAGGAAGCGAAGTCGGGTGGCCAGCTTAAAGGCCACACCCCGAAGTACGCAACGAAGTCAACGAAAAAAATGTAGGTTCGGGAAACCCCAGAGACAGGTTCGGTGGGGAAATCGAGAACCAATCGCGTCAAAAACCCACTCAAAACCCTCGACCAATCACACGAAAGTGGTGACAGTTTTGGGGCCGACACGGTAATTCTGGATGTGTCATTTAAGTGGGGTTTGGTAAGTGGGGTCACGGATTCAGTCACCAAGAAAAGGTAAAAAATCACGCGAATGGTCACACATCTAACTCCCGCCAAAACATTTGAAACTCAACAAAATTCCCGCTCGCGCCCAACCAATCTGCTAGGTTCTAAAAAAACAAAAACCCAATCGGTATCGGATGGGTTTTGGGAACGGATCAACCCTAAACACCTGGCGAGTTACGTGTTTAGGGCTGATTCATCCGAAAATGCATCCAGGTTCCTTTTGGGTTTCAGTTCGTGTCCGTGGGGATGACATGTCAACATGACAGTGTCAACACGAAGCGCGTGGAATTTGGAGTGTCAAGCACTGTACCTTCAGTGTCAAAACGAAGCACAGCACAAAATCCTGCGACGCAACGTGATTGGTTGGGCACGAATTTTTGCAAGACCTTGCAGTCGCACAAGACTTTACATCCACACGCGATTTCTTGCAAGACCTTGCAGTCGTACAGAACTTTACATCCGTCGATTGGGCAGGTGTGGGTAGAAAGAATTCTCGATCCTACCAGTTAGTTGGCTGGATGGAGGAACATGATTCGCAGAATGGGATGTCCGACTAAATTTACTGGCTGGCAGTTTTCATGTCGTCGACACTCTGCCAACAATGTTGGCAAGTGTCAAAACCAGAAGTTGGCACTCACAAGCTTGACATGTCATCCCTACGGACACGACCTCACTTTGTTTTGGCGGGAGTCTCATCTATGACCATTCGCGTTTTTTTACCAGTTGATAGTGACTGATTACGTGAAACGTTTTATCAGTCACGTAAAAACACCCTTTGCAGTGACCGTACCCTTTATTGTTTTATCAAAAATGTTATCTAGTCCCATGCAGGTTTCGCGAAGTTCGACCAGTCACGCGATATTGGCGAGATCAGCGACCCTGTGCAGGCGCTACAGGAGAAGGAGATAGACGAATTTATGGATTTAAATAAATCGAAGTAGAGGGAGAAGAACGGCGGAAGCCGCATGCATTGCGGCAGACCACAGGTGGAGACACCGCCAAGCAGCGCAAGCGGCGTTGGCGGCGGCGGCAGTGGCGGCGGCGAGCACGGCAGGGAGGGAGAGAGCGAACGTGGTGAAGGGGGTCTTCTGATGGGGCTGACAGAGGCGAGAAGGACGGCAGAGGCGAGAAGGACGGCAGAGGCGAGAAGGACGGCAGAGGCGAGAAGGACGGCAGAGGCGAGAAGGACGGCAGAGGCGAGAAGGACGGCAGAGGCGAGAAGGACGGCAGAGACGGGAACGACGGCAGACGCGAGAACGACGGCAGACGCGAGAACGACGGCAGACGCGAGAACGGCGGCAGACGCGAGAACGACGGCAGACGCGAGAACGCTTGGCGTTGCCGACGATGGGCGGGGTACCGTTGACAAGCTGGTTATTGCCAAGGTGAGAGTCGGTAAGGGGTGGGGGCAGTTGAAAAGGTGGATCTAACCACGGTGCGGGACTGCTGGGGTTGAGAGTCGGCGAGGGGTGGGTATGTGTGCTCAATTTCTCACCCCCGCTCCCTTTCCCCCCGTGTGCATGGTTGCACGAGCAGGATTCGGACATTTCAACCAGAGGAGGGCGTTGGATTGGAGCTGGTGTGTGCGCTGGTGAGCGATGGCAATCTCAAGGCGCTCACAAGTGAGCTGCTGGACTACCTGCGCGCCGCTGACTGACTTCAAGCCCCACCTCACCTCCAAGATCTGCGCCCTCGTGCAACGGTGCCCCTCCCATCCCCTCCTCCCCTCCCCCACCTCCCCTACCTCCCCTCCTCCTGACCTTTCTTCTTCCCTCCACCTGTCGTTTTGTGTGCCATGTGCTGCCCGCCTTCGCCCACTCGAATTGTGCTGCCCGCCGCGTGTCCTGGCACTGGCACACGACTTTCCGAGGCACCTGAAAGCATTAACCTGTCGTGCGTGTGTCCTGCTGGCTGTGCATGTGCACATCTGTGCGGGAGATGCATGTTCATTCATAAGGGGTGTGCATGTGCATGGTGGTGCATGCAGGTACGCGCCCAGCAAGCTGTAACACGTGGAGATCATGCTGCATGTCATCACCCAGGTATGCCCCCTCTCCTCTCCTCCCCTCCCTCCCCCTCCCCCTCCCCTCCCCTCTCCTCCCCTCCTTTCGCTCCCCTCCGTTCTCCTCTCCTTGCATCTGCCACCCTTTTCCTCACATCATCCTACCTTGCACCTATTGTCTCGTGATTCTGCGACTGAGAAGCACCCCTCCCTATCTGTATCATGACTGACTCGCAACTCTTCACGCGTGTTATTGAGTAACGGACGTACATCCATCCACATACCTCCCTCTCCGTCACCCTCTCCCACTGTGCATGCCGGTGTGGCTGGCCAGGCAGGGGAGTATGTGATGGATGGCGTTATCCGCTTCCTGCTGGTGCTCATAAGCAGCACCCGCACCATGGGAAGTGGGAACAGTGTGCTCATAATCAAAGCGCCTGACCTACACGGTTTTGCAATGCGTTCATTCTTCCACGCTCCTGGAAGGGCCAGGTACGCCCCTCCCCCTGTCCCCCTTCCCCCCTCCCCTCACCCTCCCCTCGCCCTCACCTCGACCTCCCTTCGCTTCCTCCCCCCCCGTTTGCCCTCCTCTTTCCCTCCCTGCGCCACGGACCCTGCTCTCCTGTGAAGCACCCTCGACAGCCTTGCCTGCATGCATGTATGCAATGCATCACACAGGATTCGCGAGCAGGATTCCCTTCCCCACCCCCTCCCCCCCCCCCCCCTGTGTGTGGAGTCGCGAGCAGGATTCAGACATTGCAATCAGAGGAGGGCGTTGGAGCTGGGGTGTGCGCTGGTGAGCGAGGGCAATCTCGTCACTGTTATGGATGGGTGGCACCGTGGCACCGTGGCGGGCTGCTGAGTGCTCTCCTTACCTTAAACACCCATTACCCTCTTCTCCTCCCCATCCACCCCTTGTACAACCAGCTCCGCGCACCTGCTTCTCCCGCACTGAGTTCTGGCCATGAATTCCAGCCCTTGCAACATGGGCGCACTGTTCACGAAGAACGTGCGGGCTGCTGAAGTGGCGCACTGTTCCCAAGTCATGGATTGGCGTCACGGGGAAACTGCACTGTGTGCACTCCGTGCCAGGGCTGAAACGCACCTTCCCCTTCAACACCCATTGCCCTCTTTCTTTTTCCCTCCACCCCCCTCGTACCACCAGCTCCGCACCTGTTTCTCCTACACCCACTTCACGCCCATATGACACCATCTCCCACGTTCGTCTCACAAGCCACTGTGCTGTTTACGATAATCCCCTCTCTCCCGTTCTTCCCCGCCCCACACCCCTCCCTCCTCCATCTCCACGCCTGCTTCTCCCACGCTGACTTCAGCCCCACCCGCCTCTACAGCGTGGGCGCACGGTTCACCTCCACAGAAGCACGGTAGAGGCTGCTGTTGTGGCGGAGGTGCATGACAGGCTGCAGGCGAAGCTGGGCGGGGCGGGGCTGCTGGATGCCCCGTGGTGGCTTTGTGGACGGACGAGCAGCGGGAGAGCGAGGTGCGTGCTGCGATGCCGTTTAGGAGATTCCGGTGGGGCTGGCCAGCGAGTCTGGGGTTGGCTTGGGGGGACTGGGCGGGGCTGGGTCGCTGGGTGCCCCGTGACGGTTTGAGGAGGGACGAGCAGAGCGAGAAGGAGATGTGTTTTCAGTGAGGGAGGGACAGTGGTGTGCTTGACGTTCATGAGTGACTGGGTCGCTGGGTGCTCTGTGGCTGTGTCCTTCGCCAGGGACGCCCAGAGGCGGTGGGTGTGTGGTGAGAGGCACGTGGGTTGAGTTGAGTTGAGTTGAGTTGATGGGCAGGCCAGGTGAGTTGAGAAGGCGAGACTCATTTCTAGTACCCTCTCCAACTACCTCCGTTTTCTTTCCCTCCCACCTCCTCCCTTCCAACTCGGCACCTGCTTTCCATATTCCATGTTCTGACCCACAGGGCCACAAGCTCGACTCGGCTCCTACAGGCACTATCGCTCCCCTCCCCATGCCCTCTCCCTTTCATCCCCCACTCCCCAGCTCCACGTCTGCTTCTCCTACACCAACGTCTGCCCCACGCATTCCTGCCCCTTCGGTGGCGCCGTGGCGGTGCACTGCTGCTCACTCATGCACTCTCCTTTCCTCTCCCCTTCTCACTCCACCTCCCCCAGCCCTGTTGCCGTCTCCCCACCAGCACCGCACCTGCTTCTCCTGCACTGGTTCCTGGCCCATTCATTCCCGCCTCTGCAACAAGAGCGCACTGTTCACACGGAACCTGCGGGCTGCTGAGTGCACTTTTTTCCGTGGATGCACCACACCTTCCCTTCAACAGCATTACCCTCTTCTCTTACCCCTTCCACCCTTCGTACACCCAGCGGCGCACCTGCATCCCCTACATGGACTTCTGGCCCACACCACACACTTCCGCGTCTCCCACGTCCCTCTCATCAGCCACTGTGCTGTTCACCTTTCCCCCTCTCCCCTTCCACCCTCCCCTCCCCCCCTCTTTCTCTCCCCCCCTCAGCTTGGCGCTTGCTTCGCCTGCACCTTCTGGCCCACCGACTCGCGCCCCTATGGTGTGTGGGTGTGGGCGCACGGAAGCACGGTAGAGGCTGCAGACTATCGTGGCGGAGGTGCATGACAGGCTGCAGACTATCGTGGCGGAGGTGCATGACAGGCTGCAGACTATCGTGGCGGAGGTGCATGACAGGCTGCAGACGAAGCTGGTCGGGGGGCTGGGCTGTTGGGTGTCCCGTGGCGGTTTTTGTTTGAGAAGACGAGCAGCGGGAAAGGAGGTGCGTGGTGCGATGCCTTTTAGGTCGTTCTTGTGGGGCTGGGCGAGGCTGGGAAGGGGATGGGCGAGGCTAGGAAGGGGCCGGGCGAGGCTGGGCTGCTGGGTGCCCCATGGCGTTTTTTGAGTAGGGGAGAGCATAGGGGGGAGGTGCGTTCTGAGTGAGTCAGAGGTCTTGGGCTGGGCTGTTTGATACTTGAGGGTCACAGGTGATGTGAGGCTGGGTAGGGCTGCTGGGTGCCTTGTGGCAGTTTCCTTTCTGAAGGACGAGCTGAGGAGGAAGGAGAGTGGGTGTGTGATGAGAGGGGTGTAAGGTACATGTGCATCACTAGCAGGTCACTGCTGTAGCTGCACTGAGGCGGGGCGGGAGAAGGAGGTGCGTGGTGAGATGGATGCGGGCTCACGTCACTCTCAGGTAGTTTGCGGGTGGTTGATTGGTGAGAGGTTGTATGTCGGCCGGCTGATTGCTCTGTGTCGGTGCTTTTCAGGTGCGTGGTGCGATGCCTTTTAGGTCGTTCTTGTGGGGCTGGGTGAGGCTGGGAAGGGGCTGGGCGAGGCTGGGAAGGGGCTGGGTGAGGCTGGGAAGGGGCTGGGCGAGGCTGGGCTGCTGGGTGCCCTGTGGCGGTTTTTGGAAAGGGGAAAGCAGAAGGGGGAGGTGCGTTCTGAGTGAGGGGTGGTCGGCTGGGCTGTTTGAAACTCGTGGGTCACTCGTGGGTCACGGGTGATGCGAGGCTGGGTAGGGCTGCTGGGTGCCTCGTGGCAGTTTCCTTTATGAAGGACGAGCTGAGGGGGAAGGAGAGTGGGTGGGTATTGAGAGGGGTGTAAGGTACATGTGTATCACTAGCAGGTCACTGCTGTAGGTGCACTGAGGTGGGGCGGGGTTTGCTGGGTGCCCTGAGGCCGTGTTCTTCCACAGGGGCGAGCAGTGGGAGAAGGAGGTGCGTGGTGAGAGGAAGGCGGGCTCAGGTCACTCTCAGGTAGTTTGCGGGGGATTGATCGGTGAGAGGTTGAATGTCGGCCGGACTGATTGCTCTGCGTCGGTGCTTTTCGATCAAGGTGCCCGATACTCCGTCCATGCGTGCTGCATGATTCAGAATTCCTCGCATCTGAATGCCTCAGGGCTGAACGCCCTGAGGCAGACTGCTCAATGGCAGTGCTAGTAGTCCAAGGACCATCATTCCTTCTGCCCAACTCCTGTCCGATCGCTCACCGCCTCTCTCTCTCTCTCTCTCACTCATCTCACCGGTCTATTTCTCCCGCTGGTCCCTTTCTTCCGGTCATTGACCAGGTATGCATAGTGCAACCATCACTCTCCATAATTCTCCCCCCATCCCCATCCCTTTCCCATACTTCCCCATCCCCACCGCTTCCTCATTTGGCTTCTCTTTCCCCATCCGACCCCATACTGTCCCCCTTCAACGTCCCCTCCGCCATGCCCATCCCAAAGCCATCTGCTCCTCCCCTGGTGTGCATGGTCAGCCAGCAGCGTTTTTTGAGACGTCTCAAAACACTCCTTTTTTCACGAACCATCTGCTCCTCCCCTGGTGTGCATGGTCAGCCAGCACCGTCCATCACTCTGCTCCAATCTGCCCTTCCTGCACCCACCTCCGTGCTCCCCCATTCTCCCCCATGCTCCGCCTATATCTGGTCACCCTTTTTCCCAGGAGCATCCATCTCCTGCAGTCTCTACACTCACAAAGCAATAACCAATCTCTACAGTGAGGTGTTAGTGCCTTGTATCGAACCTGCCTCTACAGCATCAGGTGTGTGCTATCATTTGTTTCCTGGTGCGCCACCATTGGCATAGGCACCCCATTGTTCCCTATGACCACCATTGCCATTGGCAGTGGAGACAGTCCCTTCATCTCATCGCCCCACCACACCATCATCCCATCACTCCCCCACTGCACCGTTAACCCATGACCTCAGCATCCCATCACACCGTCAGACCATCACCCTATCAGACCATCATACCATCACACAATCACCCTATCACCCAATCATCCCATCTAGCCATTACCCCTCCATCCCATTACCCCATCGCTCCATCGTCCCATCATCTCCCCGCCATGCCCGTGCATTGGCTTTGGCCTTCACTGCAATTCCTTGTGACAAACAACTTTGCCAGGTCACTGCCTATCCTGCCCTCGCATGTGCCATCCTCCCTTCAGGAACTCCCTCCGGAGTACATGGCGGTCTCCTCGCTCTCATTCGCGAATTGTCGGCGACGCGATTCTTCATGGAGAAGCCGACCGACCACCATTTCCTTCGTCCAAGTGTCTTGCACGCTATCAAGTGTCGTAATCACCGTCGACCACTCTTCCAGAAGACCGCAAAGCAAGGTCAAAATCCAATCCTCCTCCGTGACCGTTCCACCGAGGTCCATGAACGTTTCCCCGAGTTCCTCCACACGAGTCGCATACTCGTGCATCGATTCGCCCGCGCGCATCTTCACCGTGTAGAATGCATTCCGGGCTAGGATCTTGCCGTGGAGAGTCTTGTTCACGTGGATGGTCTCGAGCCGCTTCCACGCTTCATGCGCCGACGCTTCGAGCTTGATGCACATGCGCACCGAGCTCACGAGATTGATGCCGATGCGCGAAATCAACGTAGCGAACGCCTTTGGTCCTTCTTCTTCCATGCCGCGATGCCGCTCTCGTCGTCAGGCTTCTTCTCCGTTCCATCGAAGAGACCCCAAAGTCCCCGCTCTATCATGAGCACTTGGAACTTAAACTTCCACGCGGAGTAGTTTTGTCCCGTGAAAATCGGTACCGCCGACGTGTCGAACATCGTCGCGGTTGCCCAGGGTTCGCCGGAATTTACAACGACACCATCCAAGGAAGTGCGGGAGGCCTCGCTTGAAGTCGGCATGCTTGCTACTTGTCGCGCGCGTAGACTCCTCCGACCAGCTCTGATACCACTATTGTAGAGGAGACGCCTCTACAATAGTGGTATCAGAGCTGGTCGGAGGAGTCTACGTGCGCGACAAGGAGCAAGCATGCCGACTTCAAGCGAGGCCTCCCGCACTTCCTTGGATGGTGTTGTTGTAAAGGACTCTCCTCTACTTTGCAGGAACTGGGAATTGTTCTAATCAGTAGAGCACTCTGTTAGCTTTCCAACGAGCCGTAGATCACCTCGATCGCCTAAGTATCGAGCGAGATATGGCTACTAACGTGAAAGCTATGCTCTATGTTGAAGGATTGGAAACTCTCTGGAATTTGTTGTCGAATGCACTGTGTACAAAGTGATTCACGTTTTCCAGTATGTGTTCATGCAATACAAAGCAAAACAGATTTATAGCATGCAACAAACATCGAGTCGCACAAGTAACCTCGAACCGCTACACTCTCGAAAGTTCGAGTAACATTTCGAAGGGGTGAATTTCGACACTCGAATTTCACCGAATCGAATTCTCCTTCAGTCTCGATTCTTCTTGTGCTGCCATGTGGCACCGAAGTGCAGGTTCTTCCGAAGTCAACCCATACTTCTTGGAACCTGCAACACATTCATGAAACTTCCAAGTTGCAGCTCACTCAACCGTGAGCACTAGAAGGAACACACTCGGTGGGTTGGGGGCATATCAATCGCCCCACCACCACCTTGCTTCCAACACACGCCACCTCCAACACTCCCCCTTGCACCCAACCCACTAGGTGTGCAAACCAACATGCTCATAGCATGCACGGGATGGATCTTTAGGGGGTGGTTCCATGAGAGATTCCGCGTGTTCATCATCGCCCTTGGTCGCGAAGCAAAATGCCGCGCCCCCTTTATCCGTCTCCCCAACGGCTACCGTAGCGTAGTCGTTGTACTTGGAGGGAGGACGAACCTCACAACGCTCGCGAGCCAAGGCCAATGGTAGGGAGGAAGGTGTGGAGGTAGTTGCCGCCTCGGTTGGTGACACCTCCACGACATCATCAACGCTCTCCTCGTTGTTCTCTCCCCCTCCATCGGCTTCCTTCTCCACTTGAGGTAGAACCTCACTTTCTTCAACCTCCTCTCGTGCCGGAAGGATGAAGGTGACTTGTTGAGTTGGTTTCTCCTTCACCGGGAACTTGTCTTCGTCGAAGACCACATCCCGAGACGTGACGACGCGTTCATCACCCAAGTCCCACACTCGCCATGCACGCTCGTTTGGCGCCACTCCCAAGAAGATCGCCGCACGAGCCTTCGGTTGCAACTTGTGGCGAAGTGGATCCGGCACATGGTAGTAGCAAAGGCACCCAAAGGTGCGAAGGCGGGATAGGTTCGGCTTCGTTCCGCTCCATGCTTCGAACAGAGTCGTTCCCGGGAGCACCTTGGTCGGCAAACGGTTGCGAATCCACGCCGCTAGCGAACTCGCCTCACCCCACCACTCGCTCCCAAGCTTGGAGTGTTGAAGAAGTGAACGAACGGCTTCCACCAATGTGCGATTAAGCCGCTCCGCCGCTCCATTTTGTTGGGGTGTGTAAGGTGTTGTGACACCGTGCTTGATGCCCTTGCTCTTCATCCATTTCGCAAGCTCGTTGTTCACGAATTCGCCGCCGCCGTCGGTGCGAATATACTTAATCCGCTTCTTGTCGTCGTCGCAAACATCGAGCGCCCAATCTTGAATCGCCTTGGCCGCATCGCCTTTTGCCTTCAAGAGCCGGGTCCAACACATCCGCGTCGCGTCGTCGAGCATCACCAAGAGGAACCGCGCTCCTCCCTTTGATGCATGTCGCATCGGTCCACACACGTCCATGTGAACAAGCGCAAGCGGGTCCTTAGCGAGGGGTGACGTCCGGCTACCGAATGGCTTGCGAGCCATTTTTCCTTCGACACACGCCGCGCACACGCCCTTCTCTTCGTTGCCGGCGATCACGTCGACT